TGTATTTTTTTTTACTTTTTTATTTTCACCCATGGTATTTATTTCTGCCTGTCCTTTTTAAATTTCTGTATGCATTTCTGCCTTATTATGCAAATGAGGAGGGGCTGTGTCTCAAGGGGTCATCTTCTGCCCATTGGTGGACCAGTCAGACAGGAGAGCTCTAGGCCTACTCTGCCTGCAGACATCAACGAGCTGCTCTTCACACAGTCAGATGGCTTCCTTCAGTGCGCTGAGCTGTTTAACAACTCTGAAGACACTACCAGCCATGTCTTCCTTCTCTTTTCACGTAGACACTCTGACCTACAGAGTTTTCAATTAGCAACTTATACGTTCACAGAACTGCAGGAAAGTGAGCTGTTGTTTCTGAGAGCCACATCAGTTAGCCGCAGCTAAATCTGGAGTGCACTCCTATTCAAGTATTTACGGTAAATGCTCCCACACGGAGCAGCTCGTTGCTCTGCTGTTCAGCTGCTGTTTCAACAAAAACGCCATTCAGAACATAACCATATTCTTCAGAGGAAAAGAAGAAGGAGGAGAAGGAGAGCAACAAATAACCCCCAAACAATAAAATAAATTCCTTTTATATTTCCCTGCCTTGTTGTTTATGTGTACATACAGAGGAAGAATGTGAGAACAGCACACATTTCATCGTTACTGTGTGTTAGAGCATGGGAGAACAGTGGATACTTTTAATACAGCCCACACCCCTAATACTGTGTAACTATAACAAGTAGAGAACAGAAGAAAAAGATGTTCTTTCTTTACAACTGTCTGCATAGCTTATTCATATTGTATAATGAATGAAAATAAATAGGCCTACTAGGCTCCTCTCTACTTTGACATTTAAGATTAGCTTGTTTGATCCACCTTCATACACATGTGACATTACTGTACAACTTGAGAAAGGTGAGTTGTTTTCTGCTCTAGCCTGCCTAAAAGAAAAGCGTTTTTGGGATTAAATGGACTTTATTAGCTGCTGCAGTGCAGGATGAACTCAGAACAGACCCATTTCTCACCTTATTATTCTAAATCATGCAACGAAGAAGAAGAAATGCATAAGAAATCCTGGGACAAAATCTGTAGTCAAATACTGTACAGCATGTAGTCTGATGAACAAGACTTGTGTTATAGCTGACTTGGGCAGTGAAATGTTTAATTTTTTTAATTCATGTGGTCATAGTTGTCCACAACTCAAATCAGAATATAAGAAGAAATGTTTTATACCACCTCAAGAAGGCTTCCTATCAGAAAGGTAGGAAGGTATTTCAAATGTACAACTGCAGTACTTAAATCTAAGTAAAGTAATTTCCCTGACATTTTTGTGTTATTTTACTTTTAATAGACGCATGTAACAGGTTTTATACTTCCTTTGAGTATAATCCAATCAATCTTATTTTCATACTGTATATTCAGAGATGACTTTTATTTTGACTGCAGTTGTTATTTTTACTTTAACTGTTGTGTAAAGTTCTGCATAAATCAGATGTACTATTATAATCTGTCTCTGTTCTTTTTGTGCTGTTGATCTTACTTTATGGCATTTCTATTTACTTCAACAAAGGATCTGAGTTTTTCTATTTGTTCATCCTTAAAAAAAAACAGATATGGGGGTCGGTTTTATTTTGAAAATCAACAAGGAAGTGCTGGAAGCAAGTGAATTTCCCGCCGCTAAGATGCAGCCGGAGTTCAGCAGCAGAGCCTGCATGTGAGGATCAACGTGTTTAAGTGGACTCTGTTTAAACTTTCGGGATGTTTCACCTCAGACTCATCTCCTGTTAGCCAAGAATGCTAAAGGAAGTTAGCTTGTCAGCAGGAAGTAGCCGGAGCCGGAGCTCGGCCTCACAGTGTGTATTTTATCAGAGTGAGCTGCGTGTCTGTAACGGAGTGTGTCTGGAGGAAAAGCTGCTGTAAACATGTCTAAAGTCCAAACGCTGAGAGCTTTTGTCCAGCAGCGACTAAGTGCGGCTGCTGAAGAGATATTTGAGCTGTTTGAAAGAACGATAGCAGAGTACGAGGAGGAACTTTGTGGACAACGCAAACTACTGGACGCTGTTTTCAAGCCTGAAGTCCGGTTACACAGAGCAGGTTTGTGCACTTTACTGCTTATTCTCACTGGAAACTGCCTTTACTGCAGTAAAAGTACTAATACCACTCTGTGGAAATACTTTAGCCGGGATGTTGTAAAGAGTTAGTAGACAGGAGGCAGAGCAGCATCATAAGCTGCTCAGAGAGAAGAGGATGGAGTTTGACTGACAGCATCTACAAGCGCTGCAGAGGATGGAAGAAGTGATGAAGGAAGAAACGAGAAAAAGGCACATTTCTGAGCAGCAAAAACGAGCATTTGAAAGTCTTGTACAGGCCAAAAGTCTGAAGAAATGAACTTATACCAGCCACAACTTGCAGATCAATAAGTGTGTTTTTTTTTAACCTGAAGCAAATGTTGTCTTTCCCCTTTATTTTCTGCTCAGATGTTGAAATGTTAAAATCACAAAGAATTTCCAACATATTGCTCGTTGGTTGTTAACTGACTGTATAACAGTGGTATTGCTTGTATTATTATTATTGTCGCATTTTATTTATAAATTAATATTTGAGGATTTGACATCAGTTATTATTCATGTTCTGGGTTTGTTAAAAGCATTTGTTATAACAGACATGTAACCTCTAAAAGTGTATTTATAGCACTGTGAATCTATAAAGCATGTAACAACCTATTTTATTTAGATTATAAGTATAAATTGTAATTATTTTTCATTTAATCTCTGTTCCAGAACCACACATACTGCATTTAAATTTCAACAAATAACCAAAAGGAACATGTTGTCTGGAGTGAATTCTCACCGATGTGCCTTAGCTCACACAAATTGTTCCACTGAAATTATACAGTCCTTCCCATTCATCACAACAAATACATATTACTATAGTATTTCAAGAGATGGTCTTATTTGCATGGAGGATTAGATGGTAAATGCGCTGTAGTATGATAAGATAATATAAGATATTACTTAATTAATCCCCCGAAGGGGAAATTTAGGTCAACATAGCAGCACAAGGAATATAAAAGATCAGATGCATATTGTAAATGTATTAACACATAATTTACACTATATGCAGAGATGGGACTCAAGTTGCACTAAAATAGCTCTCACAGTGACATGAGGCTCGTCCTCAAAACACTTCAGACACAACTCTGTTTTAAGAAGTGGGACTCGTGAACAACCTTTTTTTTTTTTTTTGATGCATTAACATTAAGGAAATATGTGACGAGCTGAAATGTGTCCCTCCTTTATTGTGTGTAATCTTGCGGCATTTAAAAACGTTTTTTTGCCAATACTTGATTGAAAATGTAGCTGTACATAAGGCAAAATAATTATTAACTTTTCACTGACCTTTTTTTGAGCCATTCGGTCATTAAATGAGCTTGTAAATTAATTCAAGAACATTAATTGATTTCCTAGTATAAGATTTTGAATACAGTTAGTTTGTGGAGTACTTTTCCTTTTGTTTTGTCGTTTGGTAACACATGGAATAGAGAGCACTGTAAATAAATATCTACCTACCTACAAGTAGGGCTGTCACTGTGAAGTAATTTGTTGTGGCTCAACAGTGCGGTATTATTGCCATTTTTGTTTTGTTTTTGCAAATTACTTAAATTTTGGTAAATGAAGTAAGTATATGATAACACCTCTTTAGCTAACCTTCAAAATAAACCATAAAACTACATACAACACGGCAACACTGACACCGTCCAAGTTTGAAGTCGGGTCACGTACAGCCCGTGGCGATCCATCCTTGAACTGTTATGGAACTCGTTACGATTGTGGAGTTTTTGAAGCACTCATTTATTAATTTAACAGGCACTGAAGTGTAAAGCAGAAAGTAGTTGTTGCTGTGTCTGCCATCCTCTGCGGTTGACTATTTGATATTCGAGCCAGACTATTCTACTTGTGAGTTGACTTGACTTGTGATTATCTCTGATATGAGTAACCTTTGTTCGTTCATCTTCAACTTAATGGCCCCAAAAACATGAGATGATAATAAAATGACACGACAGTAACACATCAAAACATATCTATAGACAAATGCTAAACCCTCCCACACACAAGCTTAAGGGAATCAATTAGGGCTGGGCGATATGGACCGAAAAGTCATATCCTGGTGCTGTTAGGACAAATTACGGTATAAAATATATATCAATATTTTCTCCTAAGGGGGGTGGGTGGTATCTGTTTTAGCGGCCATGTTTTTACTATTTGTAGTAACTTAGTTTGTTTTTTATTTGACCATTTTAATTATACTTGATTTTCCATCTCAAGTGTCACTTATTGAATCTGCCTCCTTCAGTTCTTTTCACACTCACAAACCTAATGTTGTCTGCTGCAAACACGTCAGGGGAGGGACAGTAAGGGAGAGAGACGAGCAAACGCTGGCAGGACATTTTACGGAAACATATTAATTCACTCAACATCAATCTATATGGGTATAAATGGTATTGTGTAATTTTGTATCTCTTCTGAAATTATATTGGTATACTTCATTATACCAATATACTGCCAGGCCTTAGAAACCATGTACATGATTGAGAGCATAACATAAAACCTGGCGTATTTGCAGCAAAATTGCTTCTTCGCATTCTTAAAAAGTGAAAGACTTTTCTTACTTAAAGAGATTTATCTGTGGTCAGTGACAGTGGTTTAAATGTCATAATGTCAGTTTCATTATTCTCCACAGACGTCCAGCTGCTGTTGGTGAGTAAAGAAGAGGTTCCCCCTGAGCAGCAGGAGAGGAGCCCCAGTCTGGATCAGGAGGACCCATCAGAGCCTCCACACATGAAAGAAGAGCGGAACCCCAGTCTGGACCAGGAGGACCCACCAGAGCGTCCACACATTAAAGAGGGGTGGAGCCCCAGTCTGGATCAGGAGGACCCACCAGAGCGTCCACACATTAAAGAGGGGTGGAGCCCCAGTCTGGATCAGGAGGACCCACCAGAGCCTCCGCACATGAAAGATGAACAGGAGGAACTCTTGACCAGTCAGGAGGGAGAGCAGCTTCAAGGGCTGGAGGAGGCTGATAAGACCAAGTTTACATTCACTCCTGTCCCTTTGAAGGCTGAAGAAGACGATGACGAGACACCTCAGTCCTCACAGCTTCATCAAAGATTAACTGAACAGATGAAAAGAAACCCTGATGGAGAGGACTGTGGACCAGAACCAGCCAGGAACTCAGATCCAGAGAGACATTTACAACCAGCTACAGATGACAAGACGTCACACTCGTCTGAAACTGATGACAGTTGTGATTGGGAGGAGACCAGGAAACCTCAATCAGGTTCGAAACCTCTGCAAAGTGGATGTAACACTGATGAGAAACCATTTGGATGCTCTGAGTGTGGGAAACAATTCAGCCATAACTCAACTCTGAGACGACACATGAGATTTCACACAATAGAGAAACCATTAAGTTCATTTAGCAGTAAAAGATTTATTCAAAGGGTAAGTCTGACACACCACATGACACTCCGCAAGGGGGAGAAACATCGGCAGGACTGTGGAGGACCAGAACCAGTCAGGAACTCAGATCCAGAGGGACATTTACAACCAGCGACTGGTGACAAGACTTCACGCTTCACTAAACCTGAGACTGATTTGGAAGAGACCAGGGAACCTCAGTCAGGTTCAGACCCTCTTCCTAACAATGAAGTATCTGAACGTGATCAAGAATGTAGTACTGTAAAAACATCAAGTAGCTCCTCTGAATGTGCTACAAGCTCTGGTCACAAGGGACGTCTGCAGAAACGCAAGAGAATGAAAACAGTAGATAAACTGTTTAGTTGCTCAGTTTGTGGTAAAAGATACTTCTTAAAGAACTCTTTAACGAGACATATAAGAATTCATCCAGAAGGAAAACGTTTCAGCTGTTCAGTTTGTAAAAAAAGTTTTAGTGACAGAAGGAATTTGTCCAGACACATGAAAATCCACACAGGGGAGAAACTCTTCAGTTGTTCTGTCTGTGGTAAGACATATGTCCAAAAGGAACATCTGAGACAACATATGGCAATCCACACAGGGGAGAAATCCTACGGTTGTTCCATCTGTGGTAAAGCATTTGCCCAAAAGTCACATCTGAGGCGACATATGGCTATCCACACAGGGGAGAAACCCTTCAGTTGTTCTCTCTGCGGTAAAACATTTGCACAAAAGTCACATCTGAGACGACATATGGCAATCCACAGAGGGGAGAAACCCTTCAGTTGTTCTCTCTGTGGTAAAGCATTTTCACAAGCGGCAAATCTGCGACCACATATGGCAATCCACACAGGGGAGAAACCGTTCAGTTGTTCTCTCTGTGATAAAACATTTGCACAAAAGTCACACCTGAGACCACATATGGCAATCCACACAGGGGAAAAACCCTTTAGTTGTTCTCTCTGTGGTAAAACATTTGCACTAAAGTCAAATCTGCGACCACATATGGCAATCCACAGAGGAGAAAAACCCTTTAGTTGTTCTGTCTGTGGTAAAGCTTTTTTACGCGGGGCAAATCTGCGACAGCATATGGCAATCCACACAAGGAGGAAAGCCGTCAGATGTTCCGTCTGTGGTAAAACATTTGCATTTAAGACACATCTGAAAAAACACTTGATTAGCCACAAGGGAGAAACCCTTTAGTTGGAGCATTTTTGATAAAACATCCACTCGCCTCTAACAAACCTGAAACCACGTGTGCTGTTGAGAGCAGAGGATGGAAATGAAGCTGCAGAGATGCTTGTTGAGCAGATTCCCTCTAGCAGGACTTCAGTACTGAGGTCAAGACTTGACTCAACACTGATCAGTTCAGAACTGTGACACAGACTAAGTCTTGCTTCATGCTTGGTTTTTATTTGTGTCACATAATTTGTTCCATTTCTGTGTACTGTGCTTTTTGGTGTTACATGTATTCATCGATTTGAAATGGGTTCAATGGGTTTTTTGTTTGTGGCTGCAGTTTTCTTAAGTAGCGTCAGTCCACTGTCCCTCAGAGGAGCCGGTCTGTTTCTGATCCGCCCTGTTTGATTGTAAAAAAACACTTGTTCGATACTTCCTGTAGCTGCAGTTTCTCCAGCAGCTGCTGCTATAGAGTTGACTTTTACTTTGACCCACTGCAGGAAGGTTACAGTTTTCACCATTAAAAGCTCAACATATTGTAAAAGAATTGCTGTTGGTTTAATTCACTGTATTCACATCCATTTGATTTGTTATGTTTACTTTGCAAAGTATCTGTTGGGTAACTGTTGTTTAAGCACAAGTCCAATGTTCTATTAGAATCTCTCTGCTTTCAGACGATGTGATTATAGATAGTTATCAGTATTAATATGTACAAGATAAGATGAACTTTATTGATTCACTTATTACATCAAATACATGACAACAGATAAGACATTAAATAAGAATAGAATAATAAGAATTGCGTGAACATTATTTACTCCTTTTATATGTGATTGATACTGAATATTTCACAGGTCACAGCAGGAGCTAGTAGCACAGTGTAGAAATAAATATAATTGCCCTGGAAAAAATATAAACAGCAGTGTAGTTTAACGTTTTTGTGTATTGTAATAGGCTGTATATTAACTTATTGGGAGAAAACTGGTAGTTCAGACGTTGAGCACCCCCATATCGCCAAACTGGCGTGATCCTTGTTTGCGTAGCTGTGAGATTGACAGTTGAATCAGGCTCCGCCCATTGAAGCATCGGACCTTCGACTATTCGGGGTCAGCCCTAATATAAATATAGATATAGATATAACATCCTCATCTCATCTACGGTGTCTAGAGGGAATTTCGTTTAAACTGCGTCCTGCACACTCCAAAGGACCTGAATCTCCTCAGCAGATGACGACGACTTTGGCCCTTTTTGCAGAGGACATTGGTGTTGGACCAGTTCAGTTTATTGTTGAGGTGAACGCCCAGGTCTCTGTATGTTCCTCCCACCTTGATATCTAAACCCTTGATTTTCACCCGTGTAATCAGGGCCGCCTTCCTTCGTAAGTACCGCCATCTCCTCTGTCTTGATGGCATTAATGTGAAGCCCAAACTACCTTCTCCCTGAGCATTGATGGGTGTATTGAGTTGAAAGCACTGGAAAAGTAAAAAGAACATGGCCCTTCCAGTGCTCGAGGTGTGAAAGGGGTCTATGTAGTGGGTAGATGACGGACTCCACCCAAATGCCTGGTTGGTTGGCAAATTGTGTACTTACGGACTGAGTGAAAGGAAGGAGTGAGGAGGTACAAAGGTAATGAGAGTGGAAGGTAATCAGCTAGAGGAGTTTAAGGTCATCTTTAAAATAAAGGAGGGGCAGGCAGGTTTTAGGTCCTTTAATCCCATTCGGCTGGCGAGGATTTTGAAGGAAGAGCTAGGTGAAATCTTAAATGCAAGGATTTTGGTGGATGGAAAACTGATTGTTTTTTTTGTAGTTCTGCAGCACAAGTGGCAGAAGCTGTTTCCATGAAGGCAATAGGGGAAAGGCAGGTTTAAGGATTCCAGGTAAGAAAGATGGTTTGAAAGGAGTCATCTATGGAGTTTCTTTGGAAATTTAAATGGAGGAACTAGTTAAAGGTGTAGAAAGCAGTAAGATTCTCCCATTAGAGTCTTTAGGGAAGGAGCTAAGAGGGATATAAAAGAGCCAGCTACTCTCTATGGTCATGTTTTCCCAACAGACAGAAGGTTGAATAAATGGAAACCTAATGCAAAATGGTGATGATGTTTAGTCTGTTGATGTTTTGTATCCTGCAGTGGAATGCCAGATGTTTTGGTAGCTAATGGTTTCAAAGAAAAACCACTATTAATATGCATAGAGGAGTCTTGGCTTAAACCGTCTTTGGAGTTTGTGATACATCTGTTTACATAAAGATTGAAATTCTTCTGGAGGGGGGAGTGCAATATTTGTTAAAAAAAGGTGTTCATTATAGGCAAGTAAATGTAACCTCAAGGCTTGAAGGTGTAGCAGTTGAGGTATGGAGCACAGCTGGAAGGTTCTCAGTGGTTAAGTTTTACAATCCTTGTCTTCGGCTGTAAATGGATAACTTATAGATATATAGATAAGTAAGTTTGCTTGAGAGGCACAAACCTGATAGGAATAATGACAATTATGATGTAATCAATATGTTCTTTTCCATGCATGAACTAAGGAGGGCTATAAGACATGGGTGACCCACTACTGATGGGAGAGATGGCTTGGGATATGAGATCTTTCAACATATGGATGACTTTGCATTGGAGAAGGTATTGGCGTTGATTAATACAGTGTTGCAGGAAGGACCAATTCCAGCTGAATGGAAACACGCAGTGATAGTGCTGATTTTAAAACCCGGTGAGGAAGTTGAAAGTGTTGCGGTGGCAGCCGGCTGACAGTGAGTGTCCTGTTTTTTTCTCCTTTTCATCAGTTATTCTGCTTTTTCCTTGTTTTTCTCTGTTCTCTGCCTGCCTCCCTGTGTCTCCTCCCCTTTGTGTGCTCTCTCTCTCTCTCTCTCTCCCTCTGCTCCTGAGCCCAGCCAACTACCTGCACCTGCATCTCATCAGCCACCTCGTCAGCCTGCCACACCTGCCAGTAATCACCTCATCCGGGCCTGTATTTCAACCCCGGTTCTCCACACCATTCTTGCTTGATCATTGTTGCTCCTTATCCGGTGCCACCTCTACATTCAAGCTTACATGTATTTTCATTTCTTCCAATTTCCCCGTGCTTCGTCTCTGCTGTCACTAAGCTTGTCTCTTTGTTGGTTTCCCTCCCAGGTTCACTCACCCTTGTCCTCCGTTCAGTCGGCTGGGCTCATCCTCTGGTCCTCTCCTGGTCTTTTTCTCTACAAAATCAGAATGGCTTTAGACTTTGTTGTGGGACTATGGATTAAGTTATAACATTAACATACACATCCTCGTTATACAGCACAAAGTTGCATAACAAAATTGAATCTGAAGTTCCTTCAGGCTACACACACAACACATTAAACATAGGCCTATATTCAAATATGGTAAGATATAAAAATATGATAAAGGAGTATATACAATTATTTATGTACAAACATTAATACACCCCAAACACTCCACAGTGCATTTAATGAATCTGGGGTGAATGTAAACAGCAGCAACCAAATGGTAATTTGAAAGTTTCATCTTTACAATAAACAGTCCATCTAGACTGCGTTTGTGCACCGAGCATCATCGATGTACAACACACTTCCACAAGTGTGATGTACAAGTCCACTTCCTCTCATCTTGCCAGAGTCTTGCGCTGACAGCTCGGAACATGGACCACCTGCCGAGTGCTTGATCTGGGATGTTGATGGGGCAGGTCTCTGTAACGATGTGGGCACAACAGTCTCTGGTTTCTGTTGCTTGGTCAACATGAGTCCCATTTTGTCCAGACTGGAGTCCAAACAGGGCCAGCATGGCTCCTCTCCTGGCTCTCGTTCCTCTGAGTGATCACTGCACTCGCTGTGCTGCCTGGTCCGGTTGTTTGAGTCGGGTGGATTGTGGTCTGCTGCTCTTTCATCCAAAAACCCTGTCTTAATTTTTCAATGACTGTATTTATGTCAGAGGTACTGTAACATGTGTTTCAGCAATAAAGCTGGAAGAAACAAAAGTGTAGCGAAGTTTGAAGGAGCTACCGGCTGCTGCTTTTTACAGGCGCTGCCGGTTGCCATAGCAAATACATATATCATCTAACATTTTAATGTCTCTTAGGAGGTAGTTTTCTAAAACTTGTGTGTGTATTTTATAATTCCCCACAGAATAAGTCCAGCTGCTGTTGGTGAGTGAAGAAGAGGTTCCCCCTGAGCAGCGGGAGTGGATCCCCTTACTAGACCAAGAGGACCCACCAAACCCCCCACATTTTAAAGAGCAGTGGAGCCCCAGTCTGGACCAGGAGGACCCACCTGAGTGCCCATGCTGTATATTCGTCAATAGTGCAAATATGACATAAAAGGAAAAATGGAGTAAATAATTAAACTATGTATATCTTTTACATTTACTACAAAACAGGTGGAAAACGTAGGGTTTATTTTTCTTTTTAGCTTTGCCACTCTTCAAAACTTTTTGAACAATGAATTATAGAGATCTACATTACAGGCCATGCATTCCCAATTTAAGGTGTAAATATATCATATGAAAAGGCAAAATGAAGAAAAATATCTAATTACATACGTACATCTATTTACAGATAGAGGTTCAAGGTGCATATCCTGCCTTGAAAACTCAGTGTTCAGATCTCCTATGTTTAAACTGTCTCATGTTAAATTTCCAAATCCGAATCAGAAAGACTTTATTGGTTCCTGAGGGGAAACTCTTTGTTAAATTGTTCACTTGCACATCAAGGTATTAGGAATAAAATGATGATAGAAATTTTCGAATAGAAAATATTAATGAGAGTGGATATGTACAGTATTTTACAGTATTAACAGACAAGTTATGATGAATGGCAGTAGTGAATAAGTCATAATAATAAGTTCTAGTAGAGTTGACGTGGAAGTGAGTATCCTTGAAAAGTCCTTAAAAACTACGGTAGTAGGAGGAACCAGAGTATTGAAGCAGAAAATGCTGAATATAGAATATTAAAATTATATTGCACAGTATGTGAAGTATTGCAGTAAAAAATAGTCTGTATGTCTGACTCTCATGGAGTTGGTGGGAGACATTGCCCAAGATGAAATGTAGCTTGGACAGGATCCTCCAGCTCCACCCCTACAACGTCACTGGCCTTGGATCAGTTTGTTGAGTCTGTGAGCGTCCGCTACCCCCAACATGCTGCCCCAGCATGCAACAGCAAACAGGATAGCACCAGCCCCAACAGACTCATAAAACATCCTCAGCATTGTCCTGCAGATGTTCAAGGACCTCAGCCTCCTCAGAAAATAGAGGTGTCCAGTTTATTTTTACTTGTAGTCCTCCACAGTGTCCACACTGGCCCCCTGGATGGAAACAGGGGTCACTTGTGCCTTGGTTAGCTCCACAACCAGCTCCTTAGGCTTTGTCACACTGAGCTGCAGATGGTTCTGATCACACCATGAAACAAAGACACCCACCACAGCCCTATACTCAGTCGGTCTTACGTAGCAGCTGCTTCAGAGGTGACTTTTACTTTGACACACTGCAGGAAGTTTTGTTTTTTTTTTACCACCAAGAGCTCATCACACCGTAAAGGAATTACTGTTGGTTTAATTCACTGTATTAACGTCTATTTGATTTGCAGTGTTTAGAGTTGTTTTGGCTGCTGTTGTTATTTTTACTTAACACAAGAGTTACTGTACTTTTGTACAGTAACTCTTGTGTAACTGTTGTGTAAAGTTCAGATGTACTATTATAATCTGTCTCTGTTCTTTTGTGCTGTTGATCTTACTTTATGGCATTTCTATTTACTTCAACAAAGGATCTGAGTTTTTCTATTTGTTCATCCTTAAAAAAAAAACAGATATGGGGGTCGGTTTTATTTTGAAAATCAACAAGGAAGTGCTGGAAGCAAGTGAATTTCCCGCCGCTAAGATGCAGCCGGAGTTCAGCAGCAGAGCCTGCATGTGAGGATCAACGTGTTTAAGTGGACTCTGTTTAAACTTTCGGGATGTTTCACCTCAGACTCATCTCCTGTTAGCCAAGAATGCTAAAGGAAGTTAGCTTGTTAGCAGGAAGTAGCCGGAGCCGGAGCTCGGCCTCACAGTGTGTATTTTATCAGAGTGAGCTGCGTGTCTGTAACGGAGTGTGTCTGGAGGAAAAGCTGCTGTAAACATGTCTAAAGTCCAAACGCTGAGAGCTTTTGTCCAGCAGCGACTAAGTGCGGCTGCTGAAGAGATATTTGAGCTGTTTGAAAGAACGATAGCAGAGTACGAGGAGGAACTTTGTGGACAACGCAAACTACTGGACGCTGTTTTCAAGCCTGAAGTCCGGTTACACAGAGCAGGTTTGTGCACTTTACTGCTGATTCTCGCTGGAAACTGCCTTTACTGCAGTAAAGGTACTAAAACCACTCTGTGGAAATACTTTAGCCGGGATGTTGTAAAGAGTTAGTAGACAGGAGGCAGAGCAGCATCATAAGCTGCTCAGAGAGAAGAGGATGGAGTTTGACTGACAGCATCTACAAGCGCTGCAGAGGATGGAAGAAGTGATGAAGGAAGAAACGAGAAAAAGGCACATTTCTGAGCAGCAAAAACGAGCATTTGAAAGTCTTGTACAGGCCAAAAGTCTGAAGAAATGAACTTATACCAGCCACAACTTGCAGATCAATAAGTGTGTTGTTTTTTTTAACCTGAAGCAAATGTTGTCTTTCCCCTTTATTTTCTGCTCAGATGTTGAAATGTTAAAATCACAAAGAATTTCCAACATATTGCTCGTTGGTTGTTAACTGACTGTATAACAGTGGTATTGCTTGTATTATTATTATTGTCGCATTTTATTTATAAATTAATATTTGAGGATTTGACATCAGTTATTATTCATGTTCTGGGTTTGTTAAAAGCATTTGTTATAACAGACATGTAACCTCTAAAAGTGTATTTATAGCACTGTGAATCTATAAAGCATGTAACAACCTATTTTATATAGATTATAAGTATAAATTGTAATAATTTTTCATTTAATCTCTGTTCCAGAACCACACGTACTGCATTTAAATTTCAACAAATAACCAAAAGGAACATGTTGTCTGGAGTGAATTCTCACCAATGTGCCTTAGCTCACACAAATTGTTCCACTGAAATTATACAGTCCTTCCCATTCATCACAACAAATACATATTACTGTAGTATTTCAAGAGATGGTCTTGGAGGATTAGATGGTAAATGCGCTGTAGTATGATAAGATATATAAGATATTACTTAATTAATCCCCCGAAGGGGAAATTTAGGTCAACATAGCAGCACAATGAATATGAAAGATCAGATGCTGTATTGTAAATGTATTAACACATTATTTACACTATATGCAGAGATGGGACTCAAGTTGCACTAAAATAGCTCTCACAGTGACATGAGGCTCGTCCTCAAAACACTTCAGACACTTTTGCCAATACTTGATTGAAAATGTAGCTGTACATAAGGCAAAATAATTATTAACTTTTCACTGACCTTTTTTTGAGCCATTCGGTCATTAAATGAGCTTCCTTTTGTTTTGTCGTTTGGTTACACATGGAATAGAGAGCACTGTAAATAAATATCTTTACCTACCTAGAAGTAGGGCTGTCACTGTGAAGTAATTTCCCCCGCAGTAATTTGTTGTGGCTCAACAGTGCGGTATTATTGCCATTTTTGTTTTGTTTTTGCAAATTACTTAAATTTTGATAAATGAAGTAAGCCACGCAATATGATAACACCTCTTTAGCTAACCTTCAAAATAAACCATAAAACTACATACAACACGGCAACACTGACACCGTCCAAGTTTGAAGTCGGGTCACGTACAGCCCGTGGCGATCCATCCTTGAACTGTTATGGAGCTCGTTACGATTGTGGAGTTTTTAAAGCACTCATTTATTAATTTAACAGGCACTGAAGTGTAAAGCAGAAAGTAGTTGTTGCTGTGCCTGCCATCCTCTGCACTTGACTATTTCATATTCGAGCCAGACTAGTCTACTTGTGACTTGACTTGTGATTATCTCTGATATGAGTAACCTTTGTTCGTTCAACTTCAACTTGATGGCCCCAAAAACATGAGATGATAATAAAATGACATGACAGTAACATATCAAAACATATCTATAGACAAATGCTAAACCCTCCCACACACAAGCTTAAGGGAAACCATGTACATGATTGACAGCATAACATCAAACCTTCTAGCGAAATTGCTTCTTCGCATTCTTAAACAGTGAAAGACTTTTCTAACTTAAAGAGATTTATCTGTGGTCAGTGACAGTGATTTAAATGTCATAATGTCAATTTCATTATTCTCCACAGACGTCCAGCTGCTGTTGGTGAGTAAAGAAGAGGTTCCCCCTGAGCAGCAGGAGAGCAGCCCCAGTCTGGATCAGGAGGACCCACCAGAGCATCCACACATTAAAGAGGAGTGGAGCCCCAGTCTGGACCAGGAGGACCCACCAGAGCGTCCACACATTAAAGAGGAGTGGAGCCCCAGTCTGGACCAGGAGGACCCACCAGAGCGTCCACACATTAAAGAAGAGCGGAGCCCCAGTCTGGACCAGGAGGACCCACCAGAGCGTCCACACATTAAAGAGGAGTGGAGCCCCAGTCTGGACCAGGAGGACCCACCAGAGCCTCCACAAATAAAAAAGGAGTGGAGCCCCAGTCTGGATCAGGAGGACCCAGCAGAGCCGCCATACATTAAAGAGGAAAAGGAGGGAGATCAACTTCGAGGACTGGAGGAGGCTGATATCACCAAGTTCCTATTCACTCCTGTCGCTGTGAAGAGTGAAGAAGACGATGAAGAGACACCTCAGTCCTCACAGCTTCATGAAAGATTAACTGAACAGATGAAAAGAAACCCTGATGGAGAGGACTGTGGACCAGAACCAGCCAGGAACTCCGATCCAGAGAGACATTTACAACCAGCTACTGATGACAAGATGTCACACTCGTCTGAAACTGATGACAGTTGTGATTGGGAGGAGACCAGGAAACCTCAATCAGGTTCGAAACCTCTGCAAAGTGGATGTAACACTGATGAGAAACCATTTGGATGCTCTGAGTGTGGGAAACAATTCAGCCATAACTCAACTCTGAGACGACACATGAGATTTCACACAATAGAGAAACCATTAAGTTCATTTAGCAGTAAAAGATTTATTCAAAGGATAAGTCTGACACACCACATGACACTCCGCAAGGGGGAGAAACATCGGCAGGACTGTGGAGGACCAGAACCAGTCAGGAACTCAGATCCAGAGGGACATTTACAACCAGCGACTGGTGACAAGACTTCACGCTTCACTAAACCTGAGACTGATTTGGAAGAGACCAGGGAACCTCAGTCAGGTTCAAACCCTCTTCCTAACAATGAAGTATCTGAACGTGATCAGGAATGTAGTACTGTAAAAACATCAAGTAGCTCCTCTGAATGTGCTACAAGCTCTGGTCACAAGGGACGTCTGCAGAAACACAATGGACTCCAAAAAGGAGAGAAACCATTTAGCTGCTCAGTTTGTGGAAAAAGATACATCTGGAAGAAGTCCCTAAAGATTCACATGAGATTTCATTCAGAAGAAAAAGGTTTCAGCTGCTCAGTTAAAACCACTTTTCTATGCAGAGGAGATGTTGAGAAGCACATCAGAATTCACACTGAGGAGAAGAAACGATACAGCTGCAGTGTTTGTGGCAAAAGATTCACTAGGCGTTGCATGGTCAGACACCATCAGTGTGCTGGTCGTCAGTCTTCCCATCTTCATAAAACCCAAACTGAAGAGAACAGAGATGCAGAGCATTTGAAAGCAGAAACTGATGGAGAGGACTGTGGAGGACCAGAACCAGCCAGGAACTCGGATCCAGAGGGACATTTACAACCAGCGACTGGTGACAAGATTTCACACGTCACTAAACCTGAGACTGATTTGGAAGAGACCAGGGAACCTCAGTCAGGTTCAAACCCTCTTCAAAACAATGAAGTATCTGAACGTGATCAGGAATGTAGTACTGTAGAAACATCAAGTAGCTCTTCTGAATGTGCTACAAGCTCTGGCCACAAGGGACGTCTGCAGAAACGCAAGAGAATGCAAACAGTAGATAAACTGTTTAGTTGCTCAGTTTGTAAAAAAAGTTTTAGTGACAAAAGGAATTTGTCCAGACACATGAAAATCCACACAGGGGAGAAACTCTTCAGTTGTTCTGTCTGTGGTAAGACATATGTCCAAAAGGAACATCTGAGACAACATATGGCAATCCACACAGGGGAGAAATCCTACGGTTGTTCTCTCTGTGGTAAAACATTTGCACAAAAGTCACATCTGAGACGACATATGGCAATCCACACCGGGGAGAAACCTTTCAGTTGTTCTCTCTGCGGTAAAACATTTGCACAAAAGTCACATCTGAAACCACATATGGCAATCCACACCGGGGAGAAACCTTTCAGTTGTTCTCTCTGTGGTAAAACATTTGCACAAAAGTCACATCTGAAACCACATATGGCAATCCACACCGGGGAGAAACCCTTCAGTTGTTCTCTCTGTGGTAAAACATTTGCACAAAAGTCACATCTGAAACCACATATGGCAATCCACACCGGGGAGAAACCCTTCAGTTGTTCTATCTGTGGTAAAGCATTTGCACGAGCAGCACATCTGCAACCACATATGGCAATCCACACAGGGGAAAAACCCTTCAGTTGTTCTCTCTGTGGTAAAACATTTGCACAAAAGTCACATCTGCAACCACATATGACAATCCACACAGGGAGGAAAGCCGTCAGTTGTTCCGTCTGTGGTAAAACATTTGCATATAAGACACATCTGAGACAACACTTGATTAGCCACAAGGGAGAAACCCTTTAGTTGGAGCATTTTTGATAAAACATCCACTCGCCTCTAACAAACCTGAAACCACGTGTGCTGGTGAGAGCAGAGGATGGAAATGAAGCTGCAGAGATGCTTGTTGAGCAGATTCCCTCTAGCAGGATTGAAGTACTGAGGTCAAGACTTGACTCAACACTGATCAGTTCAGAACTGTGACACAGACTTGTGACACAAGTCTTGCTTCATGCTTGTAGCCAAGTTAAAATTTTAACATGGTTTTTATTTGTGTCACATAACTTGTTCCATTTCTGTGTACTGTGCTTTTTGGTGTTACATGTATTCATCGATTTAAAATGGGTTAAAATTGTGATGCATTTATTCTGTTTTTTGTTTGTGGCTGCAGTTTTCTTAAGTAGCGTCAGTCCACTGTCCCTCAGAGGAGCCGGTCTGTTTCTGATCCGCTCTGTTTGATTGTAAAAAACACTTGTTCGATACTTCCTGTAGCTGCAGTTTCTCCAGCAGCTGCTGCTATAGAGTTGACTTTTACTTTGATCCACTGCAGGAAGGTTACAGTTTTCACCGTTAAAAGCTCAACATATTGTAAAAGAATTGCTGTTGGTTTAAGTCACTGTATTCACATCCATTTGATTGTAACGCAATGAATTTATACTTGTTATTTTTACTTTGCAAAGTAACTTTTGTGTAACTGTTGTTTAAGTGCTGCATAAATCAAATGTTCTATTATAATCTGCCTCTGTCTGCTTTCTGAAAGCTATGTGGTTATAGGTAGTTTTCAGTATTAATATGTAGGTGATAAGATAAACTTAATTGATTCATCTATTACAGCAGATACAATACAAGACAATGGAAAAGAACACAGACATTAATAAGAATAGAATAATAAGAATTATGTGAACATTACTCCTTTTATATGTGATTGATACTGAATATTTCACGGGTCACAGCAGGAGGTAGTAGCACAGTGTAGACTTGACTAGAGACTCCTCCTCGAAAGACTCGTGAACAATGTTTATATTTAGGAAAGGTCTGATGAGCGTGCTGTTATTCCCCTCCCTTCGTTTCCTATAACCTTCTTGCGTAACATGTAGCATCTGCTGCGCGCGGCCACACGTGAAAGATGACAACAAACAGCTGCTTAGCCATTCATCATAAACTTTGGCTTTAAAACTTCATACAACAAGACCCAACAAGGAAGCGCTGAACACAACATAGGTTAGAATTTATTGTCATACTAAATACATACAGTCATGGCCAAAAATGAAATTTGCATGAAAAGTATTGCATTAACACATGTTTTGCTATACACATGTTTATTCCCCTTGTTTGTATTGGAACAAAACAAAAAAAAGAAGGAAAAAAAGCACAAAACAAAACCCCAAAAATGGGCTGGACAAAATTATTGGCACCCTTTCAAAATTGTGGACAAATAAGATTGTTGCAAGCATGTGATGCTCCTTTAAATTAACAGGTATGGGCAATATAAAAATCCCACCTGAAAGCAGATAAAAAGGAGAGAAGTTAACAGTCTGTGCATTGTGTGTCTTTGTTTACCACACTAAGCATGGACAACAGAAAGAGGAGAAGAGAACTGTCTGAGGACTTGAGAACCAAAATTGTGGAAAAATATCAACAATCTCAAGGTTACAAGTCCATCTCCAGAGATCTAGATGTTCCTTTGTCCACAGTGCGCAGCATTATCAAGAAGATTGCAACCCATGGCACTGTAGCTAATCTCCCTGGACGTGAACGGAAGAGAAAAATTGAGGAAAGGTTGCAACACAGGCTAGTCCAGATGGTGGATAAGCAGCCACAAACAAGTTCCAAAGAAATTCAAGCTGTCCTGCAAGCTCAGGGTGCATCAGTGTCAGCACGAACTATCTGTCGACATTTGAATGAAATGAAACGCTACGGCAGGAGACACAGGAGGACCCCACTGCTGACACAGAGACATAAAAAAGCAAGACTACAGTTTACCAAAATGTACCAAAATCCTTCTGGGAAAACATCTTGTGGACAGATGAGACCAAGATAGAGGTTTTTGGTAAAGCACATCATTCTACTGTTTACCGAAAACGGAATGAGGCCTACAAAGAAAAGAACACAGTCCCTACAGTCAAATATGGTGGAGGTTCAAAGATGTTTTGGGGTTGTTTTGCTGCCTCTGGCACTGGGTGCCTTGACTGTGTGCAAGGCATCATGAAATCTGAGGATTACCAAAGGATTTTGGGTCGCAATGTAGGGCCCAGTGTCAAAAAGCTGGGGTTGCATCCGAGATCGTGGGTCTTCCAGCAGGACAATGACCCCAAAAATAGAAATGGATGGCAACAAAGCGCTGGAGAGTTCTGAAGTGGCCAGCAATGAGTCCAGATCTAAATCCCACTGAACACCAGTGGAGAGATCTTAAAATTGCATAAAAAAAAGAAAAAGCCTTAAGGTTTGGACATTAAGTTTGAGGAACAACATACAAGCATCAATATAGTAAGAGATCCCAACACGATTCAGTTTATGATCCCAGAGTAACTAAATAGGTCCAAAGAAAAGAATTTATAACTTTTAATCTTAAAATGGTCTTTTCTGTTCTGAGTTTGTTTTTCAAAACTGTGTCATTTATTCTTAACCAATCCAGGAACATATGCACACACACACACACACGTGACTTCATTGAACATTCATCAATATGTGCTGATAGTTTGCCTTAAAACACACACTGTACTTACAGTTTGCCTGTGCGTGTACTCACAGGGAAACATTAAAAAGAGGACTGATATCTGTGACACTTTACATTTGAGCCAGATATCAAGGGTGCAATCAAAAAGACTAGATTTTAGCAGATCAAAATTGATTTCATATGCTGCCTAAATGTGTCCCTGTACTAGTTTGTATTTTTTTCTGTACGCTAACCTGTCAAGGTGATAAACACATTCAAGCAGGAGACATGAACACATGAGGGCATGTCACTCAAAACAAGTAGAAGTAGATAAAATATGGAAGGATAGAAATGTGAGAAGGAATGCAGATGGTCCAGTACAAGCTGCCTCTGGTTCACTCATTTCAAGATCAAGATCACTGGTTTATAGTCCAGTGGTGAATGTGTACATTATTTACAGTAATGCATGGAAATGCAGATTGTTAAATTGTATTTCCTTTGTGCTTTTCTCAATGGGTAGAGAATCCCCATCGTATCAGTGTGAATGTACTTTCTGGCCCCTGTTGTTAAATGTCATGTTTTATTTCTCAGATTTCCTTTATTCTTACTATTATTATTTTATAATTTTACCCTTAATCCTGCACAATGATGGGTATATTATTCAGTCTTTGACCGAGATTCATTTTAATACTGCATGACAGTCATTGTCTCACTGTGTTTGCACGCAGCCACCAGCGATCGGCTCTTTTTACTTTTGCGTAAGGGGTAAGAGGTAAACTGATCCGTCAGCCAGACTGAAACCAGGATGGAGTGGTTCAGTAAAAGTTGTACAGACAGTGTACAGGTGGGTCAGTGTATCAGGAAAAACACGAAAAAAGGACAAAATGCCCGCTGGCCAGTCCAGATACACTCCATACGTATTTTTGTACTTCTCAACACAGTCCATAAACTCCAGACATGAGTTATTATGATAAAAGCTCCCATCATGAGTCCAGCACCAAGACTTTTCATTTTGTCCCAAAGAAAATTCAGATGACATGGGTCCCACCCTGTCGATACTTTTATATGCCACCCCAACATCAGCCAATCACTTTCAACCTCCCAGTAATGGCGACTGGTCAGACTCTCTTCACACAGTACTTGAGAGCATTCAAATCTGTCGGGGTTATCGGGATATGGCTGCCGCTCATTAAAACGTGTTGCCCTTTTGTTTTCGTCCGTCAAAATGAGTCTCACACCTGCTGTGTTGGGGTCCAGTGTCAGATCACAGGCATCTGCAATTGAGACAGAAGAAACAATTATTGGTTGAGAATGGAGATACGATTGTTGTGTGAGTGTGGTTCTTGATTTTAGGAAAATGTTCTTGTTGTTATCATAAAATTAGAGATTGGTTAAAACTCTGGAAGATGTGAAAACAAGCATGTTAGTTGCCATGTCACTGTTTGTACACAATAACTGCAACTCTTCATTTGGCGTGCTGTTCAAATTGCATAACGTGACACAATGTTGTCTATCATCAACAGTGTGTGCTCTCCACTTAACATAATATCCTTATATCCTGATTTGAAAGATATTTTAAGACTTCTAAAAACCTTGCAGACGTCCTGCGTACTGCCACATCCATGTTACAACACCAGATTTTTATTTTCTTACACTGTCTCAGAAGCTTCAAGTCAAACCAGAATTCTTCATTTTGGTCCACACTGATGGGGAATAGAGGGACAGCAGGTGAGAAATATTGTCACAAATAGACTTCAAATCAAACAAATGAAGTGAATCTCGCAAAATAATCTTGGAATGATGATCTGTCTGACAGCTGTTAGACAGCCTGTTTGAGCATACTTGAGTTTCTCCAGACTGTAGCGTGAATCCTTCTGTATTTCAGTCAGAAGCTTGACTCCTTGATCTGCCAGGTGATTAAAGCTCAGGTCCATCTCCCTGAGGCGGCAGTGGTCGGACCCCAGAGCCGAGGCCAGGTCGGCACACCCATCTGCCGTCACTTTACAGAAGGACAGCCTAAAGAAATTGAAACACGGACATTTCAGGCGTTACATGCCCTTATCAGCAGCAATTTTCACTTGTTAACATGACACAAGCCCCATTTCATTAGTCATTTTTCACGCTTTCCTTTTGAAATATTTGACATCCATCGCCATGCATCACTCAAGTGACACCTTCAGAGTCTTGATGTGAACAGATGATGCACTTGAACAGTGGGGGTGGTGATGGCACTTTCTGGTAATTCTGTGTTGCTGAGGTTCAGCCTGTTTGAATTCAAGCTAAAATAATGGAACATTTAGTAGGAACCAGAGCAGAACAATATGTGTGAACTACTCAAGGACGCATCAAAACAGCTCCCCAACACATTATCCAATTTATCTGTGACTGACTTTTGAACATGAAGAGAAACAGTTTCGTTCACAAATACATGTAGACTGGGTGAAATCTCAGCGCTCTATCATGGTGTGATGTCAACAGTGTGTTTTCTTTCCACTTGTCATTGTAACAAAGGAGCAGACTGAGGTGTGAGCCAGTCGTAGTACGGGAATGGGGGTAGACCCTGTTTTGCATTATAAAACCGTTCATATGACTGGATGGTAAGAACTTTTCTAACCTGTTTCTTTTTATCGTGTTCTAGACAACAGCCAGGACGCTGAGGCCACGTCCAGCTCATCAACATAAAGCCCATCGCCTGTGCTCATTTCTGCAAACGAGGGCTTCACAAAGGAACAGACATGCTTCCAGGTCATCTTTCACACCAATGCATTCACCAATTAAATCTAGTAAACGCAGAAGAGCGGATGATGAGGTAGTGCAGAGAAGCCAGTCAGCGGCGTCACGAGGAGACAGTAACGCAACTCAGGGCTTTGGGTCGTTGATATCCAGGTTGTTGGACAAACTGTGAGCCAATATGCAATGTTTAATTTTAAGTTTCTGCAATATGTTTGTATATAAACTTTTTTTTGGTGGTAATATATTTATAGGTTTATTTGTTGTGTGTTAGTAATAATCTGTCATTTATTTATTCTTATATTACAAAGTGTGACATTTGCTTTAAATGCGTTCTGTGCCTAAATAAATAATTGGTTGGATATTAATGTCTTTTTTCCATCAAAAAAACGTCCTCTCGTCTACAGTCCCCTGAAGGAGGATGCAGTAGAATGACGTTCTGTTCATGTAATATCGTCCTCTCATCTGTGGCCTCTGCATCCTGATGTGGCACCCATCAATTGCGCCTATGACATCACTGAGGCCACAGAGGCGATGTGTGATGTGCGATGTGAGAAGATGAAGGTTGGTCCCATAGTACAGATGATGTCGAGCACTTCCAGGACGATCCTGTGTGCTGATGACTGTGAAACATCAAACCTGTCTGGCATCTCCTTGAAGCTGTACTGGTTGGCCATGTACCACAGGAACAGCAGCACTTTCTGTGTCACGGGTGCTGGTGGTAGACCTGGACTATGTTCCTTTGTTAAGCCGCTCTCCTGCAGCTTCACCAGGAGATATTCAAAATGCGGCTTGGTGACTCTGAAATGGCGTGAAAAAGCGCAGTCCTCCATGTTCTGCATGGCCTCCCACTCTGTTCCAGTCCTCAGGATGAGCTCAGCATTGTGGATATCAGTATCCTAAAGAAAGAGAAAACTGTATTTAAGTCAATAATACTGTATTATTTCTAATTCATTTGAGCAGCTCCGGAGAAATTTATTCTAGGTGAGTGAAGTTTTCATATCTTATTTGTAATCCTAAGCACAGTTCAGTTATTAACATGTAAGTTATATAGCAGACTAATATTCTAAGTTATATTGTAAAAATTAAGTTTATAGCAGTGCTTGAAATGGAAAACAATAGGTGCCAGTCCTTTGTGGAATTTTCTGGGTTTTTCTACCATCGTTAATTCCTAACAGAGATAATTTGGTTTTTGGTCACCTTTATTTTGAAAATCAGCAAACTAGGGTGGCTAACATGCTAACTTTCTGTTGTGCACCACGTGCAGTTACCGTGAGATGCAGCCGGAGTTCAGCAGCAGAGCCTGCATGTGAGGATCAACGTGTTTAAGTGGACTCTGTTTAAACTTTCGGGATGTTTCACCTCAGACTCATCTCCTGTTAGCCAAGAATGCTAAAGGAAGTTAGCTTGTTAGCAGGAAGTAGCCGGAGCCGGAGCTCGGCCTCACAGTCGGAGCAGCTTCCATAGAGACCAAACTGTATTTTTCACGGAGCCCAAATGTCCAAATGTCCAGATAGAGCTGTCTGAATAGACTCTGTGCTGTTCCCTTTATCTGAACATGTTTAACATCTGAATTATCTCCCGCTGTCCTACGAAGCTAATGCAGTTAGCTTAGCTTGCTAGCTGGAAATAGACGGACCCAACGTAATAACATCTGAGTGATTTGTGTGTTTGTGTCTGCAGGAAAAGCTGCTGTGAATTAGTAAAAAATGTCTGTGGAGAACGAGGAGGAACTTTGTGGACAACGCAAACTCCTGGACGCTGTTTTCAAGCCTGAAGCAGGTTTGTACACTTATTATTCTGCTGGAGCTCATTAAACTCCTTTATATCATGTTGGGTAGTTTCATCCTCAGCAATGTACACCTTTAATCTAAAAGTAACTAAAGCTGTCAGACAAATGTGGTGAAGTAAAAGTTTAAAGTTTCATAACATGCAAAAGTACTTCAAACTTGTACTTTACTTGAGTACAGTACTGAAGTACACATAGGGCCGCATGATTTGGAGAAAAAGTCATATTGCGATTTGTGATATAATGGTAACAAATATGGCACCGTGAGTCTACTTGCTTGATTATGAGGGAAAATGTACAAAAAACTGCATTTTAAAAAGTGTATTTCTCAACTTGAAGCGACAAAGTTAAACTGGCTAAAGAAGAAATACAGTTTTTGTCCCACCACCAGGCCAAAGCCCTGCTCATAATCTTTTAATGTTCCCCATGATTTATTTGTGGCGGCCTGCTACAATATCAACGCTGACTGCCACGTGTTGATTTTGTGTTTGTTTGTTCTTTACAACTTAAAATGGATAATCATGTATTTCATAGAGCTGCGGTCAGTGCAGTGTTTCCTATTAACTGCAAAGATTATGGTTTATCGATCATCTTGACAGTGACCCCACAGAAGTTTAACAGCTGAGTTTCCCTACTGGTCCGACTGTGGGATCTCCTGCAGGCGGTGATGTAATTTCCCAAAATAGCTGATTGGTCAGTAGTGTGCTTTTATAGCTTTGATCTTTTATCTGGAACATAACCTGCTCCGGAGCAGGTTCAGCATAAGTTATCATGTTGATCTATCCCAGTAGGAAGTGAACCACCGACTGGAAACCCAGGGTCACTGTTGCTTGTAAAATATTCACCGCTTGTAATGTAATACCAGAGATATAATAAAAGATTTTCAGCAGCTTGCAAGTTATGGTGACGTTAATGTTACCAATGTAAACGTTGGGTTTGCATATACAGGTGTATGCCACATTGGTAAGTTAAAGATAAAGCCACATTAAACCGTTGCCCTTAACGGCTCGCTGCTTAAACTGCCTTTAATTTGCTCATCAAACTCAAGACATCAAACAAGAAACACAGGTTCCCTAAACTGTCGCTCTTTGAATTCTTTCACCTCTTCTTTGAAGTCAGCATGTCTGACGGCAAGATGCTTTGCCAAGTTGGACCACATCTATAATTCTATAGTTTGCTCCATTCATCTGCAAACCGTGGAAACGGAAAAGGTGTTTGTGACGCTCTCTTCTCTGCGCTGCAGTGTGCTCATTAGCTCCGCCCACACCGGGCTCTCACATGTGCCTGTAAAAACAGATGTGCCTACCTGCGATCAGAAAAAACGATTTCGAAACCTACCGTAACTCCCTGCCCTGCCGCTAATCGTTCAAAACATAGCCGGACTCCTCGCCAACTCACTCTGTGACATAGGGAGACGTTGTCAGCAGCTGAAGCAGAAGAAAAGAGGGAGAAGATAAGGAAGGTTTGAGTTTAGCTCGCTGGCCGAAGTTAACTGTATCGCTGCATTCACTTGTCCGACGTGTTCAGCTTCTCTCAGAGCCAACGGGCCAACGGGTCACTTTTCGTCTACCGACCAATTGCATCCTGGATGGGGCGGGACAATAAAAGCAGCAAATCATTAAATGTTGGACAATATGATTAATGACAAGTTAGTACCGAGTATTAACAAATTAGAGACCGATGTAGAGCCTTTTTCCTGCACAAGGAAACAAAAAAAACAACCCACAGAAACGAACAGCTGTAACTGGATTTAATATTCGACTAGCGGTAAAATGTGCTACGATTATATAAACTTATAATGAATGTTGCATATTATTGTTATACTAATAGTAAACTATTAACTAAACATTATACTCTTTATTTAATACACTCATGTACAGTTCGTCCTCCGGGTTGTGGATGGAGACAGATGGACATTGAGCCAATGTCTGCTGCTTCTCGGCGCCTCCTCCGTAGAGCAAAATGCTCCTCTTGTTCTTTTTTACTAGTTATTGTTATAAATTTTGTTTAACTTTCTTCAAGTTGAGAAATACACATTTTAAAATGTCAGTATTTTGCTTATTCCTTGATAATTAAGTAAGTAGACTCATAGTACCATTTGTTCAACTATAATCTAATCGCAATATGACTTTCTCCCTATCGTCAGCCCTATGTAGTATTGGATGCTTTCAGCCGCAGGTCACTGTAACGTTATCGTAGACGGCATGATTTAGAATCTGCTGGTGGTTGAGAAACGGTTTCTCGTAGCTTTGGATATTATTAAAGAGTGCTGGTACAGGGATAAACTAGATGTGTATATGCTACATTGAATGTAGTTATTTTGGCAGATTATGTGTAAGGTAAAATACAAATACCCTACGCTTATTGTCTTTAAGCCATCTGTTTACAGTTGCACCTTCCAGCAGCAAATATTTATTGATGTGCAATTGGTTACATGGAAAGTTTTTGAGACTGTAATCTGTTTAATAATAACCAAAATGTATATATGAATGCATGTCCTTCCTGTTCCCCCTGTAGTCCACAATCACTTCCTGTATTTGTATTCTGAGCTTTACGGTAAAGACATTGAAACAGTTCAAATGGACTGTTGGAAATGATGAGTACAGTCACAGTTTCTTAGTTCCAAATGTGTTTTACAAAATGTGCGTCCTTTCTCCACACATTTAGGAAAGTAGTGGTGTCAGTGGTTTAAATGTTAACAGGAAGTTTTTCTAAAATGTGTATGCGTTTCATTATTCTCCAGACGTCCAGCTGCTGGTGAGTAAAGAAGAGGTTCCCCCTGAACAGCAGGAGTTGAGCCCCACCATGGACCAGGAGGACCCACCAGAGCCCACACACATTAAAAGAAAGTGGAGCTCTTGCATGGACCAAGAGGACCCACCAGAGCTCCCACTCATTAAAGAGGAGTGGAGCCCCATTCTGGACCAGGAGGACCCACCAGAGCCCCCACACATTAAAGAAAAGTGGAGCCACAGTTTGGACCAAGTGGACCCACCAGAGCCCCTACACATTAAAGACGAACAGGAGGAACTCTGGACCAGTCAGGAGGGAGAGCAGCTTCGAGGGCTGGAGGAGGCTGAAATCAACAAGTCCCCTTTCACTCCTGTCCCTGTGAAGAGTGAAGAAGACAATGAAGAGAAACCTCAGTCCTCACAGCTTCATCAAAGACTAACTGAGCAGATGGAAACTGATGGAGAGGGCTGTCGAGGACCAGAACCAGCCAGAAACTCGGATGCAGATGGACATTTACAACCTGAGATTGATGACAATATGTCCCACTCTGAACCTGAGACTGATGACAGTAGTGATTGGGAGGAGACCAGAGAACCTCAGTCAGGTTCAAACTCACTGCAAAACAATGAGGTACCTGGACGTGATCAGGAATGTAGTACTGGAACAACACCAAGTAGCTCCTCTGAATGTGCTGCAAGCTCTGGCCACAAGGAACACGATGAACTCCAAACAGGAGATAAAGCATTGAGTTGCTACGTTTGTGGTAAAACCTTCCTCCGGAAAAACACCTTAACTGATCATATGAGACGTCATCCAGTAAAAATCATTTACAGCTGCTCAGTTTGTGAAAAAACTTTCATTTCCGAAAGCAGTTTGTCCAGTCACGAGAGAAGCCATGCAGTGGAGAAGCCATTTTGTTGCCCGTATTGTGGTAGAAGATACAGCAAGGAGAAGTGTTTGATGAGTCATTTAGAAGAAAAATATTTAAGATGCTCAGTTTGTAAAGAAACTTTTCAATGCAGACAATATTTTGTGAAGCACATGGAAGGCCACAAAAACGGGAACAAAGGATACGGCTGCAGTGTTTGTGGCAAAATATTCTCTAGGTGGTCCCAGCTCAATAGCCATCAGTGTGTTGTTTTGGAGGAGACCAGGGACCGTCAGTCAGGTTCAAAGCCTTCACAAAACAATGATGTACCTGGACGTGATCAGGAATGTAGTACTGTAAAAACACCAAGTAGCTCCTCTGAATGTGCAACAAGCTCTGGCCACAAACCCCAAACAGAAGAGAAACCATTTCGTTGCTCAGTATGTGGTAAAACATATGTTCTGGAGAACACCTTAAAGAAACATATGAGACTTCATTCAGAAACACAGTTTTACAGATGCTCAATTTGTAATCAGACTTTCATTACCGAAAGCAGTGTGTCCATACACGAGAGAAGCCACACTGTGGAAAACCCCTTTAGTTGTTCTGTCTGTGGCAAAGGATTCACACTAAAGGAAGAACTGAGGCGACACATGAAAGCAGGGCTGCACTTAACAGTTGTTTCTTAATCCGTAAATCTAAACATTATTTCTGTCTTAGTTCATTAAAGGTGGAGTAAGTTATTGTAATACAATACATGTCTTTTTGACAGATTTAGTTAATATCTCCTCATGATCCGTTAGCTGTCCGTTCTGTGTGTGAACGATGAAAACAGATCCGGTGTACTCAGCCATTTATGGTCTGATGTGCCGGCTCTTGGAATCTCGTCCTCTCAGCATGTTGGCTTTAAGTTCGCTTTTGCAGCTGCAACTGTAATGACAGTATGCTAAGATACAAGTTAGCTAACGTTAGTTACATTAATTTGTCATGTAATTAGACTTGTCCAGAGTTGCTTACTCCGCCTTTAATACGTCACTGCTTTGTTATGATAATAATATTAATAATCATAAACTGTGTGTCAGATGCCAGATCTGAAGAATACTGGACCTCAAATGTATAAGGACTGCTGTGATACAGATTAATGTAATCCTGTAGGTCCTTGAATTTGAAAATCATTTGTGAAATATAAGACTAATGTAAAATTACATTTTGCTTTCCACCACTCACTAACACATCAGCTGCTTTGTTTAGTAGCTTCATGGGTCATGTGTCTTTCTTTCAGTCCTGATCCAACCTGGAGGGTTTGATGTCCGTCCCAGTCTTCCAGCCTCTTTAGTTTTCTACTTCAGAGTGAAGCTTTAAAGCCTCATTTACTTTAATGATGAGCTACAAGTCAGTCAGACTGGGAAAACGGGATAAAGATTTATTTTTAGGAGATTTTTGAAACAAGTCAGTGTTTGACTGGAAGTAGTTTTAATATTTTCCTGACATGTTTTAATTTCTTTTTAAAAAATGTTTTTAAAAGCTTGATAAAAGGAGTAAATGAGTAGATAACATGTTTAAGGATTTATTTTCTGTTGATTTATGATGTGAATCCATTGTAAACTTTCTTGTAAACCATTAGAAGTTATAAATAGATTTCTTGGGAAGTCCTGATCATGTTTTTTTGCCCCCGATCCGAGTCATTTAATATTGAGTGTCTGCCAATCCCGAGACCCAATCTGGCATTTTCCTAGATAATACAGTTGCACAGTAAACACTTAGGTACATTCAATTAAATTTCTCTGTCCTTTTAAAAGTATCTTTCAGTGTGCGTTGCTTCTGTGCTGGCTTTGTGAGTTTCCTGACAACTCACTGTATTGTGTTGTTTTTTAGGTTCTGAATCAAATTAGGTGTATTGAACACAGCTCTTTTAACACAAGTATCACTAACTATGGATATTCGCCTTCAGTCTGGCTTACTACAGAGATGTGAACCTGAAATGAACATTTGTCTGTGGTTAAATTACAATAAAGGGATAAAAATGATGCCGAAATAATTATATAATGAATTGATTATTTTCAATATTTTACTACTGCCTTGCGAAATGTTCACCTTGCAATTACAAGTGGATGTTTGACTTCTTTTGTTTTACAATTTAAAATATTTCCACACTACAGACATTTAATCCTCCGTTTACTACACTTGTGTGACATCCACAAAAGCAAAAAAAAAGGAACTATAAGGCCCAATAAAGCTGATACCGATTGGTTAAAAAATTCCTTGATTGGCCCAGATCATGATCTTTCAGATAGGATCGGACATCTGTAAAAATGTGTAATGCTTTAATAAGTGTGTTGATGTATCATTTGTAATCCTTTATAATGGTGCGTTCCATTTGACATGGGAAGTCAGAATTTCCGAGTTCAAAGGTCAAAATTTCAAAGGGAACGGCCCCTTAAAAAGTAATCCGACTTCGGAAGTCGGAAGAACCGCACTACCCCGACTTTGTGGTCCAAGATTGCTGTTGGTGTATCAACAGTTTGTCAAAGCTCTAGTTTATACTGTTTATTAGCACTTCTGTGTACTTGTGTCTCATAGAAATGTTCGTACACAAAGTGCTGTCCAACAGCTGTATGAGGTCGTGTGGCTACAGTGTTTAATATGAGTAATTGCCGCACAATGCGTTTTTTTAAATCAACTGGCATATCAATAACTAACCTGGCTAGTTGTAAACAACGGCTGGCTGAGCGAGGTTTTCCAACTTGTTAACTGGAATGCCGTCAACTCGGGTGTGACGTCATTCCCAGCTCCGACCTCTGACTTCCGAGGTAAATGGAACGCACCATAAGTTGTCTGTAGCATTAATTGTCCCACCTGTAAATCGTCATTATGCAGAAAGTAAAGTGAAATACTTGCAAATGTACTGGAACCGAAAACGAGCAGTTTATGGCTGTTTCATGTGTTTCTAATGATGATACTTTTCATAAACTCATCTAATTGTATCTATCATGACATAATAAATAGATGAATGAAAAACTTGTGTAGGAAATGTTTGTGTGATTCTGCTCACATGATGATGTTCTGTAACTCAGGGTGTTGGTGAACTGCTCAGAGCTTTTATTGACGAGGAAGAAGATATAAAAAGACGTTACCTCCGGTTCTGCTGCATCCATTTAAACTTTCCATTGTGAACCCAACAGTGTGACGGTAGTACTCTTTTGCGAAACGGATAGTAAATAGAAGAAGGTAATAAATCCTCACGTTAAGTTTTAAAAGCTGATGTCCAAACTGTTTTGCAGATTTTCAGCTTTGCCAATGTCCCCTTCCAGTTGCCTTTAATCTATAGGGAGGTGATCTGAAGCAGACCCCAACAGCAGATATTCTAGTTATTTGCAGTTCAGTTTGTTGATTATTGAGAGAGTTTTACACATAAGAGATGAACGTACAAAGCTTTCTTAATTCTGTTGGGTAGGAGGACTCAGTTGATCTACTTAGGTGCTCTAGGCGTTTGGTTATGAAAAAGAACTGAGTCTCAATGAGCCCAGTCCCAAGTAGCTGTGTGAAATAAGGGTGGATGACTCCTGCAAAAGCCAATCTGTCATAAAGTACATCCTTAATCAATAAATTTGACAATTAAATAAATGCTGTTCAACACTTTATAGGTCTGGATTACTTTTCAAATTCTGTTTTATTTATTTTAGTTAAATTCAATCTGGCAAAAGGAGTGTAGAAATTGTATACCAGTGTGAGTAGTACTACATAAGAATTTAGATGATCGTATGGTTTCATCTTCACATAAAGTCTGACATTTAGAAAACTCTCCATTTTGACTGTGTTTGAGTACCAAGCGCCATCGATGTAAAATGATCCTGCGACCACTGACATGTATAGCAATTGTAAGTTGCTTTGGATAAAAGTGTCAGCTAAATTAATAAATGTAATAATGCACCACTTTCTTAATGTTATTACTAGATTATTGGATTATTATTATGATACATTAATACTTATGCAACCAATTCATCAGGGCAGGATTAAATCTCTCCAGGGCTTTTTATTGGCAGAACTGAGCTGTGTATTGACAATGTTTCTCCCACTCTACTCACTGTGTGATGGTAATTAATCTGTGGTAACTTCATTTAGGGCTCATTTAGTGTGACCCCTCTAAAACCTGGTACATTGACTGATCTTTCCTCATCAAACGTATCTGGATATTTTACCAACAGTAACGTTTGGTTTTTGAAACAGGCCACTTTTATTCAGACGAGCCTGTTTCTGTTTCTGTTTCTGCTCTGTTTGGTTGAAAAACACTCGCTCATTACTTCCTGTAGCTGCAGTTTCTCCAGCAGCTGCTTCAGAGGTGACTTTTAAAACACTGCAGGAAGGTTACAGTTTTTACCACCAAGAGCTCATCACACTCACAATTATTGTTTAATTCACTGTTAATTCATTTTAATTTACGACTTCCATTTGATTATAAGACATTGGATTTATGATTGCTGTGTTTAGAGTTGTTCTGATTGCTGTTGTTATTTTTACTTTGTAAAGTAACTCCTGTAACTGTCATAAATCAAAAGTACTTTATAATCTGCCTTCAGAAAACTAAGTAAGTACACTTAGATTTGTCAATATTAAAACATTATTATGCACTATAATGTTGCTGAAATTATACTTATGGACTCTTTACTTTTACTTTCCTTTGTGGCATTTCTGTATGTACTTTAGGAACAATTTTTCTACAATCCTTCATTCTTAACGAAATTATGTTGAGAAATTATTACTTGTATTTTGAAAACCCGCAAATAAATAGTACCGGAAGCAAATTTACTTCCTGTGTTTTCAGCTACGTTGCGCTTGTCTTTTGCATAAAATACACCCGGAGTAAACACCAGAGCCTGCAGAAGTACAGCGTGCACATAAACACAGACGTGGTCCTGAATCAGTGACCGCCGATCTTTAATATCAAGACGCAGCAAATGATTTTCCGCTGCCAGCTTCCCCTCCGCATTCTGTGCGTGACAAGCGGCAGAGGCGCAGTAAGTTGTCAGTAAATGTAGGTCGCAGTGTGTCCGTTAATAAAAGTCTGTCTGTTGGAGAGTGAAGGCAGTTAGAGCTGCACACCTCAGACAGCGGTGGTGTAACGTTACCGAGTTGTGCTGCAGCTCACTGAGGGATGACGTGCATGAACAAAAGGATGCTAAAAATCTGTTTTGCTGAATAATGCATCCACCTCTTAAGGTCTTTTCCAGACTATTTTCTTTGCACATTGATCATCACCACAGATTTTTGCTGAATCTCAGAAATTTAGTTGTGGACACCAGTAAAATTCCACAATATCAATTCGGTACCACCGTAAAAACAAAGACAAAACAATAAATCTACTTCAACATAGACTCCTTTGACAAACAACTACTGTGAACATTGTGAGAAGATGTCCAGCACAGATGAGAGGTGGTTTAATGTTACAATATGTATTATATTTTATTGATCTTTTATATGTCAATAAATGAGCACGCTGTGCATATTTAATGGATAAATTATTACTAATTTATTATAATTATTAACTTTGTTAACTTTTCTTTACAAACTCTCAGGTGTGAAATGTTTAAGACTGCTCACTATCTGCAGTGAGGAAAATAAGTATTTGAACACCCTGCTATTTTGCAAGTTCTCCCACTTAGAAATCATGGAGGGGTCTGAAATTGTCATCGTAGGTGCATGTCCACTGTGAGAGACATAATCTAAAAAAAAATCCAGAAATCACAATGTATGATTTTTTAACTATTTATTTGTATGATACAGCTGCAAATAAGTATTTGAACACCTGTCTATCAGCTAGAATTCTGACTCTCAAAGACCTGTTAGTCTGCCTTCAAAATGTCCACCTCCACTCCATTTATTATCCTAAATTAGATGCACCTGTTTGAGGTCGTTAGCTGCATAAAGACACCTGTCCACCCCATACAATCAGTAAGAATCCAACTACTAACATGGCCGAGACCAAAGAGCTGTCCAAAGACACTAGAGACAAAATTGTACACTTCCACAAGGCTGGAAAGGGCTACGGGGAAATTGCCAAGCAGCTTGGTGAAAAAAGGTCCACTGTTGGAGCAATCATTAGAAAATGGAAGAAGCTAAACATGACTGTCAGTCTCCCTCGGACTGGGGCTCCATGCAAGATCTCACCTCGTGGGGTCTCAATGATCCTAAGAAAGGTGAGAAATCAGCCCAGAACTACACGGGAGGAGCCGGTCAATGACCTGAAAAGAGCTGGGACCACCGTTTCCAAGGTTACTGTCGGTAATACACTAAGACGTCATGGTTTGAAATCACGCATGGCACGGAAGGTTCCCCTGCTTAAACCAGCACATGTCAAGACCCGTCTTCAGTTTGCCAATGACCATTTGGATGATCCAGAGGAGTCATGGGAGAAAGTCATGTGGTCAGATGAGACCAAAATAGAACTTTTTGGTCATAATTCCACTAACCGTGTTTGGAGGAAGAAGAATGATGAGTATCATCCCAAGAACACCATCCCTACTGTGAAGTATGGGGGTGGTAGCATCATGCTTTGGGGGTGTTTTTCTGCACATGGGACAGGGAGACTGCACTGTATTAAGGAGAGGATGACCGGGGCCATGGATTGCCAGATTTTCCCTCAGTTAGAGCATTGAAGATGGGTCGAGGCCGGGTCTTCCAACATGACAATGACCCGAAGCACACAGCCAGGATAACCAAGGAGCGGCTCTGTAAGAAGCATATCAAGGTTCTGGCGTGGCCTAGCCAGTCTCCAGACCTAAACCCAATAGAGAATCTTTGGAGGGAGCTCAAACTCCGTGTTTCTCAGCGACAGCCCAGAAACCTGACTGATCTAGAGAAGATCTGTGTGGAGGAGTGGGCCAAAATCCCTCCTGCAGTGCAAACCTGCTGAAAAACTACAGGAAACATTTGACCAAACAAAGGCTACTGTACCAAATATTAACATTGATTTTCTCAGGTGTTCAAATACTTATTTGCAGCTGTATCATACAAATAAATAGTTAAAAAATCATACATTGTGACTTCTGGATTTTTTGTTTTAGATTATGTCTCTCACAGTGGACATGCACCTACGATGACAATTTCAGACCCCTCCGTGATTTCTAAGTGGGAGAACTTGCAAAATAGCAGGGTGTTCAAATACTTATTTTCCTCACTGTATGTTGGCAGTTAGTTTTATTTTGAAAAACAAAAGTCATTGATGATTGAAATGGATCATGTTGCTCTTTTCAGACAGTCCCTAACTCCTCCTACAGTAACAGGAGGGTTGGGCAGACATTCAGTTCTTAGTGCTGCAAACTGCATCTTCATGTTTGGTGATTTTGACTTAATTCAAACAATGAAACGTCTGTCTAAATTTGCTCTCCAGCTGAGAGACACAAGGCTTCACACGGAGCTCTCTAAACTAGCCGCATGTCATTACTACCTACTCGGTTGGATCATTACTACTTTCCCTGAAAAGTTCTGTAATATTTCAAATACACGTATTTCATTTTTAAGTATAGTTTAGTTCTCACTGCATGTTAAATGTTACCATGATGTCATTTTGTTTATAATTTTGAAGAAGGATCCTCATGTATCAGCAGTTTTGTACCTGTGTAACAAAGCAGCATACATGTATTGATTGTCGTCTTTTCTATCCTGATGCAGGATTCTGAACGCTACACCCTGACTGAGCAGCTAGCATGCCTAAAGATAGCCGTGCCAGGCGGGAGCGGATGCGCGAGGCAAACCGCCGCGCACGTGCAGCAGAGTCGGATGAAGCACGGCATGAGCGCCTGGCTCGGAATCGGGCGCGCATAGCTAAGAAGAGGGCGGAGGAAACGCCAGAGATGCGAGCGGCTCGCCGGGCAAACAACGCTGTGCGCCAACGGAAGGTCAGGGCCAAAGAAACGGTGGAGATGCGAGCGGCACGCCAGGCAAAGGACGCTGTGCGCCATCAAGAAGTCAGGGCCAAAGAAACGCCTGAGATGCGAGCAGCGCGCCATAAGAAGGTCAGGGCAGGAGAAACACTGGAGGTCAGAATGAAACGCCAGCCAAGGGACGCCAGGCTCCATCAACAAGTGCACCGTGCGCGACTGGAGCAGACGCTCCATGACCAGCGCAACCTCGCACGGTATGAAGATCCTGACTTCTTCAAAGGGGATCTTCGTGGTGATTACAGGCAGACGATGAGCACGATGTCACTGTTTCAGTATCCGAATTGCTCACATTGTGGTGCCTTTGTATGGGAAGAGGACAGGAAAGGATTCTGCTGCCACTCGGGTAGGATTTACCTTACGTATGACCCCACAAATCTCAAACCTGCCTCAACCCCAACACAGCCCCCAGGTGCTATTATGCAATGTCCAACATAACATGTTTACCCACTGGCCCTAAGGGCCCTAAGGGCCAGTAGATCAGATTTTTACTGGCCCGGGCAAGAAAACAAATAGATTTTCTTGTTATAACATTTTAAAGATTTTAAAATGAATATTTTCATTAGATTTTCCATGAATGTGCAGTTTGCTCCTGCATATTTAAAAACACATAGACAGGGAGGGATTGATTGGCGGTTACTGTAGCAAGTAGCACTTAATGTGCTTTACGCATGCCAGAATTAGTGCAGTGCCTGCTCACGGGGGGCGATGTGATAACTCCCTGCGCTTTTTCGATGCTTGTTAAAAATGTGCGTCTCACATTGGTTTCACCTACAGCATTAATAACACTGAAAGAGCACGTCCATGGCAGAGATACTTTGAGATATTCAACTCTTCTTAAGAACTTCATAAAACTCTAACGTTTCTAACGTATACCAAATATGCATAATGACAAAAACGCTGTTTCAAATTGTTTTGAATACTCCGTATTTGTTTTTGTAAGAACTGTGGTTGACAGCATACGCAAAAACATTCTTGCTACTTTTCTTTATTGGTCTTTTTTTCCCTTTCTTCTCAATAGGATCAGCAAAAGCTTTAAATGAGCAGTGTTGTAGAATGTAGTGACATCTAACATTGAAATTGTGAAACTGAGTATCACTCGCCTCAGGTTTCCCTTCCAAGCATGAAGAAGAAACTACGGTGCCTGTGAAACTCATAACAGGCCTTATCTAGGGTCAGCATTTGGTTTGTCCTTTCTGGATTACTCTAGAAGCATGATGGTTAAACATGTTCGAGTCTGTGGAAGAGGAGCTGCTCTCTCTGTAGGCAAGTCTAATGTTATGGAAACACAAAGATTCTTATTTTCAGGTGATTATAGACTAATAAAAACATTTCTGTCAGTTGAGCAAATAGAGCTCTGTAAATTTAACACTGATCCTTTAACTGATGTGACCGTGCATTCATTTGTATTAAGGAATCCCAGCTCTCATCATGAGCCTTTAAACCTAAAAGAAAATGTAATACTCTTTAGGGGAAACTCCTGTATGCACCTGTGTCCCTTGCACTATATTTTGCATCCTAATGCCCAGTCCCACTTTCTGCACTTACAGACTCCTGATCGTATATGAACAATAAACACAGACAAAAAAATAAACAATTTAACTACGTGGCACAAAAATCATGGACAACTGAATAAATCTACAAAATCTGAACAAGTCAGCAAAATCAGCCAGGCAAAATGCAATTCTGAAATGCTCCATGTGGGATGTAGAGCGGAACTAATCCAGTTCACAGAGAGCTATTATCCGTGTCACATTGGTGTAAACTGAGCTGCTAGCTGAGACATAGCGGCCAAAGGAAGGACTGATGTCTAAAATCTTCATTCTTTCTAAAAATAAGTATTTTGATGTCAGGAATATAGTTTCTATAGGGCCCTGTGAAATCTGTTTAAATTTTCACCAGATTCTGATTGTTCCCCTTCAAATTTCTGTGCTCTTTCTGAACTCTGTGTTTTACAATTTGAGTCATAAAAAAGTTACAGGAAGAAGTTATAGTTTTCTAAAATGCGTGTATGTATTTCATTATTCTCCACAGATGTCCAGCTGCTGTTGGAGAGTAATGAAGAGGTTCCCTCTAAACAGCAGAAGAGGAGCCCCAGTCTGAACCAGGAGGACCCACCAGAGTCCCGACACATTAAAGAGGAGTGGAGCCCCAGTCTGGACCAGGAGGACCCACCAGAGCTCCCACACATTAAAGAGGAGTGGAGCCCCAGTCTGGACCAGGACAACCCACCAGAGACCCCACACATTAAAGAGGAAGGGGAGGAACTCTGGATCAGTCAGGAGGGAGAGCAGCTTCGAGGGCTGGAGGAGGCTGATATCACCAAGTTCACATTCACTCTTGTCTCTGTGAAGAGTGAAGAAGACGATGAAGAGAAACCTCAGTCCTCACAGCTTCATCAAAGACTAACTGAACAGATGGAAACAGAAATTGATGGAGAGGACAGTGGAGGACCAGAACCAGCCAGGACCTCAGATCCAGATAGAGTGGTTCATGACTTGTAATTCTTCTGACACTAATGACAGTTGTTGAAGGACACCAGAAAACCTCTGTCAGATTTAGGGATGAAATAGTTGCCGGTTTAATGATAAACATGGTAGAATTCCAGACGATCATGATCATTAACACTGTATTACTGAAGTTGTCAGTGTAACCTACTCTTGTTCTGCTACTGTATGTGTCGTGTGTCTGTAGACTCATTCACTCATTGCGCATGATAACACGTTACGTAGTTTAGACACCATAATAATCTTGTTTATTAAAAGAGCAGCTGTTGAATTGATTGTAAAATTGTTTGACGGTTTGTTGCGTCAACAAACCTCCAAGTGAATCCGAGACATATCCCTCAGCAAGGAAACAATGTGTGTGGAAATAAAGATGTGGCTTTGTTAAAAACAGCCTAGGTTTGGAAGATCTCCACTTGATTAGTCGAACTCAGACTGCTGAACCTCAGATTAACTTCCCCTGACCTTCACAATGTGTTTTCTCCAGTTACCATCAGGTCAAGAGACTGATTTACCTGAGGTCTGTTTTAGACCGGGTCCAAACCTTTGGACCTATGAAGACTTCAGACTCTCTCCAGCAGTGGCAATTTCTGCATGGGCTCATCTGTAAAATGTCACTAGTGCATCCACAAGAAGAAAGTTAGAAGCTAGGCGAACACCAGCTTAAACAGTCCTCAGTTATACCTAATAGAGTAATATCTATAGGCCTGGAGGATTGGACGTTTTAACATGGAGAGCTGGACCAGTACCTCTTGGACAGGGGTAACTGATTTGTTCATATTTGTATTATGAGTCTGAATCTGCAAAGTAACCAGAACTGGGATCTATTAGATAAACGTAATAAAGAAAAAAGTACAGTTGTTCCTCTCTGCTTTTGGGAACAGGCCATTGTTATTCAGAGGATAATGTTACTTTACTTTGCAAAGTAACTCTTATGGAACTGGTTTGTAAAGTGCTGTATAAATCAAATGTACCATTATAATATGTCTCTTCAGAAAAGTCAGGAATTAAACTTGTTGTCAGGATTAACATAAATGAATTAGTATGTACAATAATAATAAAGTTTTGCTGACATTATGCTTTTGGGCTGTTGACATTACTTTGTGATATTTCTATATTTCTGAGTATTTCTACCAAATGTTAATTGTCAGTAGAGAGACTTGGGGCTTTTGTTATTTTTATTTTGAAAATCAGCAAAGAAGTGGTACCGGAAGCGGGTGTACTTCCGGTGGCTAACACGCTAACTTTGCTGTTTGCATGCTAACAGATAGATCAGCAGGAGTTCAGCAGCAGAGCCTGTATGTGAAGATAAACTGTTTAAGTGGAATCTGTTAAACTTTCGGGATGTTTCACCAGATTCATCTCCTGTTAGCCAAGAATGCTAAAGGAAGTTAGCTGAGTACAAGTGGTTTGAACCCAGGTCGTAGACGGAGCCGAGCTGCGTGTCTGTAACGGAGTGTGTCTGGAGGAAAAGCTGCTGTAAACATGTCTAAAGTCCAAACGCTGAGAGCTTTTGTCCAGCAGCGACTAAGTGCGGCTGCTGAAGAGATATTTGAGCTGTTTGAAAGAACGATAGCAGAGTACGAGGAGGAACTTTGTGGACAACGCAAACTACTGGACGCTGTTTTCAAGCCTGCAGCAGGTTTGGACATTTCACCCTTTACTGCAGTAAAAGTACTAATACCACTCTGTGAAAATACTCCACTGCAAATACAAGTCCTGCTTTCAAAGCAGCCTGTTTTCAGCTTTGTGGAGATGCATTTTCCAGCTGATCCAAAAATACTTTAGCAGTGGGAGGATTTTATTAGCCCATAAAGCAACTCTTCATTCTGCAGTTCATCACTAACGTTCACCTCAGATTTGTACTGTACTTTGGTAAATGGTCTTAGTTAAATTCCACCGGTGGAAAAGAGCTGCTACTAAAAGAGGTCAAGTTCTTTTATATTCAGAACAACAATCACAGGGAAGCAGTCGATGGCAATGAAGCTCTTGGCTCCCTACAACATACATGTGAAGACTCTTTCCTAAGGGGGCTCAAAGTAGATAACAGGTGAGGTACAGGTCACAGACACAGACCGACCTCTCCGTCTCTCAGACAATCATTGATCCTGTTATTTTTCTCTGTGGGTGCAGGACGAAAGCTGGGTAGATAGGAACCAGTCGTTGCATACAGCTGATGACGAGAGATATGGTGCCCTTCTTCAGTCTTATGGCATATTCAAGAAGTCATGAAGGTTTCCTTAAAATGTTCACTTAAGTAGTTGAGGTTTTCTCCTCATCTTGGGCTTATACCTGAGGAATCCCTTAAGTGTGTTAAACCGTTGCACAAAGGACCTCAGCAACCAAACTAAGGAAAATAATTTAAGGTACCTCTGGCTTTATCTTAACCGGAACATGGTTGAGTTTATGGCGATAAATGACAAAATTTTACATATCCTGAGACGAGTGTTCTGCGACCGGGAGAATCCAATGGATCAGCTAAATGATGAGCAAAACAGCCAGCAAACAGCAAAACAGTTTTTCTTTCTCAGACAAATGTCTCCTCTCTTTCCAACTTTGCTGGTGCAAGCAAACAGTCTCCATGGTAGGAGTAGAATTTTACTACTGTAAATTCTAATATCTAACACCTGATAGCAAACACCTTAATGATTTTCCTTAACTAAGGAAACATTTAAAGGGATTCTGTGCAACACAATCCTTAGCTAAGGAGAAATGAGAAATTAAGACTTAAGAGTCATACTTTTGGTTGTTTTTTATTGTGCAACTGGCCCCAGCATCTTCATTTTTTGCGTCATAGGTCAGATCAGTGGTCATGGTTGTTATCCATAAAAATTTCTTCCTAGGAAGACTTTACATTAATGCATTACCACTAATTTACCTATGAGATATTTGGCTGGACAGTCTAAAACCTTTTCTACGTGCCTCTGTAGGGCTGTGTGGTAGGCCGGTGTAGACTAGATAGTCAGTCAGTTTTTGTAGTAATTTCCCATGCATTGATTTATTTGTGGCCCGCCACAATATTATTGTTTATCGCTCAGCACCTCCCCTCTCTCCCATTAACACTACTGCACAAATCGTTGCAACACAATGCTGTCAATGTCCCACCTTAAAAAAAGTTAGCAAGCATGTAAGGAGCCTAGCTAATACTGCTATCACTGCTCCTTCAGAAGTTCCTCACTCCAAATTCATGGACATGCATTGCCAAGGCTCCTGCTGAAATACGGCAGAATCCACATCCATCGCTGGCCGAGGGCACAGTAGCTTCAGTAAGGTGTAATGTTTTTAGCAAATGAAGCCGTGGTTGAGGCACTGTTTTACATCACTATATGAGCATGGCATGAATTGAGTTTTTGTTTTGTTGTTGTTTGAAGTTACGAAAAACACTTTACAGTGTGTTAAATAAATAAAATTTTTGGAGTGATAAAAGTTCTTGAAAGTGAGTTGAACATCCACTTATTCAGGTCTCGCAGCTTTTAATATCAAAAAGCTGACTCAGCCGCTGTAGCTAAAATATTAAGGCTAACGTTGTCATATAATAATAGAATACATAAAATCAGTACATTAATTTAATGGAATACACAAATGTAATTTATAGTCAGTCCTAATGATGGGGCAGGGATAATGACTTATTCACTGATGTGGACCCAGATGACCCTGAAGCTGCTGACTCTCCCCACCTTTGTATTCTGAGATTTACAGTACAGACAATGAAGCTGGTAAAGTCGCTTGTTGGAAGTGACGAGTATATTCAGTGCCTTAGTTCCAAATATGTTTTACCAAAAGTGCATTATTTTCCACACGTTAAAGAAAGTAGTGGTGTCAGTGGTTTAAATGTGACAGGAAGTTACATTTTTCTTAAACGAGTATGTATTTCATTATTCTCCACAGATGTCCAGCTGCTGTTAGTGAGTAAAGAAGAGGTTCCCACTGAACAGCAGGAGTGGAGCCCCGGGCTGGACCAGGAGGACCCACCAGAGCCCCCACACATTAAAGAGGAGTGGAGCCCCGGGCTGGACCAGGAGGACCCACCAGAGCCCCCACACATTAAAGAGGAGTGGAGGGCTGGACCAGGAGGACCCACCAGAGCCCCCACACATTAAAGAGGAGCAGGAGGAACTCTGGACCAGTCAGGAGGGAAAGCAGCTGGAGGAGGCTGATAGCACCAAGTTCACATTCACTCTTGTCTCTGTGAAGAGTGAAGAAGACGATGAAGAGAAACCTCAGTCCTCACAGCTTCATCAAAGATTTGACCAGATGGAAACAAAAGCTGATAGAGAGGACTGTGGAGGACCAGAACCAGCCAGGAAGTCAGATCCAGAGAGACATTTACAACCTGATACTCATGACAAGGCTTCACACTCCTCTGAACCTCAGACTGAAGAGAGTTGTGATTGGGAGGAGACCAGGGGACCTCAGTCAGGTTCAAACCCTCTGCAAAATAACAGTGAATGTAACACTTGTGAGAAATCATTTCACTGCTCGGAGTGTGGTAAACTATTCAGCCAAAACTCAAATGTGAAGAGACACATGAGAATTCACACTGGAGAGAAACCATTTAGTTGTTCAGTTTGCAGAAAAAGATTTAATCAGAAGGTACATCTGGCAGAACACAAGGCAATCCACACGAGGGAGAAACGATACAGCTGCCGTGTTTGTGGCAAAAAATTCTCTTGGCTTTATCAGCTCAAACACCATCAGTGTGTTGGTCGTCAGTCCTCAAAGCTTCATCAAAGCCAAACTGACCAGATGAAAACAAAAGCTGATGGAGAGGACAGTGGAGGACCAGAACCAGCTGAAGTACCTGTAAGTGATCGGGTATGTAATAATGGAAAAACATCAAGTAGCTCCTCTGAATGTGCTACAAGCTTTGGACACAAGGGACGTCTGCAGAAACACAATGGACTCCAAATAGGAGAGGAAGCATTTTGTTGCTCAGTTTGTGGTAAAAGATACTTCGGGAAGAAGTCCTTAAGGAGTCATATGAGGCTTCATTCAGAACGAAAATGTTTCATCTGCTCAGTTTGTAAAGTAAGTTTTAGCTGCAGAAGCCATTTGTCCACACACGAGAGAATCCACACACAGGAGAAGCCATTTAGTTGTTCTGTCTGTGGTAAAACATTTTCACAAAAACCACATCTGAAACAACACTTGACTGTCCACACAGGGGAGAAACCGTTCAGTTGTTCTGTCTGTGGTAAAACATTTTCACAAAAGCCACATCTGAAACATCACTTGACTGTCCACACAGGTGAGAAACCCTTCAGTTGTTCTGTCTGTGGTAGTAGATTTGCACAAAACTCAACTTTGACCTCACACATAAGAGTTCATACAGGAGAAAAACCCTTCAGCTGCTCAGTTTGTAAAACAAGATTCCGTGACAAAAGCAATTTGTCCAGACACATGAGAATCCACACAGGGGAGAAACCGTTTAGTTGCAGCATTTGTGATAAAACTTTCACTCAACCCGCTCATCTCAAAAACCACAAGTGTGCTGGAGAGAGCAGCGGAAGTAAATGAAGCTTCAGAGATGCTTCAGATTTTATTATTTATTATTTATTTATTATTATTTTTATTTTGTGACACATTATTTGGTGGTTTTCTGGGAACTGTGACATTTTAATACACGTCATACCAAAAGCAAAGTATTTCATGTCTGTTGTACAGCACTATGGTCAACTAGTGTTTTCAAATGTGATTTACAAACTAAATTCATTGCCTTATCACCCAACAACACAATTTACTTGTAATTGAATGGACTCTCCTGGTCTTGAATATATCTAATTATATGTAAAACGTGAACAATTGATTCTTAAACTGCTCATACTGTATTGTGTTATTTTGGTCAAATCACAAGTCTTTACACAACCTTTGATTTCACACAATTGGACAGCTGATGTGTTGGATTTGCCCAGTTGCCTTTAAAGCAGCGGTTCTGATTTTTCCAGCCTGTTTCATCTTCAATGTTGGGCATGTTAGTCAGAAAATGTAATAAATTAATACTTTTACAGAACTGATAGTATTACTTTTTTTAGTACTGTATATTTAAAGGACTTATGTGACTATATTACTTTCACAACCC